TGCCTAATAATGTTTATTTTAGCCGAACACTGGTACGTTGTCGTTATTTGTGAAAACCTATGGCAAGCCATTGAGCTCAGCTGGCATGCGTGTTAATGCACAACATGTTAACACATACACAAAGCAAGTACGTGTTAACACATACAACAATTGTGTTAATACTTTTAAAAGCTTATAATTAGGGCTGGATCAGGTGACCCTGAGCCTTCCCTTAGTTATGCTGCTATAGGCCTAGGCTGCTGGGGGGCCCCATGATGCTCTGAGTTTCTCTCCTCTCTTCCCCTCTCCCCCTCCTTTCTCTGCCTCTCCATGCATCTATATGCCACCATTATATGTCATTAACTGTGTGCCTCCTCTCTCCCATAATGTATCTTCTCTCTCTCCCTGTACCGTTCTGCAGGAGTCAATGTGGCATTTGGTTGGCCCTCATGTCACTCTGCAGCTCACTGTGCATCCTCTGTGAATCCATTTGCTTCTACAGTTATGCTGTCAGCACAGATGAGTCCACAACCCAGTGAAAAACTATGTAAAAGGAGTGAAAACTGTGGTCATGGACAAGTTAGAGAGATTTTTTTGAACAAATTTAACAGCCTCACCACTCTAGGTGTGATATCACCACTACAGACTCTTTCTCTTCATAAAGACCAATGTACAGTATATCTCATAAACGAACAACTCGAAACGTGTACTAATCTCATGCGATGTTGCGCATGCGCAGTCAACACAAAATGAAAGAATCACTCCCCGAGACAGCCTTATGTTCTCGAGTCATGGGGAAGATTCATTCAAAATGAATGAATTGTTCGTGAACGACACATCACTAGCGCATTCTGGGAGCGATGCTTTTGCGCCCTGTGCCCAGCACTGGGCTATCCCCAAACAGGCCTGCTGTAGTGGCATAAATGCCAATGTGACCTGCTCCCAGCTCCCTAACCAGTGCTTTTTCTTCAGCTGGCGGGGGTGGAGACAGCGGGGCTGCCAGCTTAGAGGGCTATGCTTATACTCATAGAAGCTTGGGTTACTGAATGTAACCTGTTAAGTTTTAATACAAGTGCTCATGAACCCCAATATGCAGACACCCGGACTCAGCAATAAAGATAAGAATTTATTGATAAACTAACAGAACGAGGAAAAAAACGCACACTCACACAGCAGGTACATGTAGTGACAAGAGATACTGACTGAGCAGCTGGTAGTACATAGAACAGAGCAACCTGGGGTTGAGTGAGGAGTAATGTCTTCTACTCTCCTGAGCTGAGGAGGAGAAGGAGAAGACCAGTGCTAGGGGAAAGCCAGAGTTGGTGGAAACTGCTGTTGCCCTAGAGGTGAGGTGAATGGTGCTTGCCAGGCTGAAGAGGACATAGCTGTGGTCAGGAGATGTGGAGGCTGCCGTTATCAAAGGACGTGGTGAGGTGAAGGGTGCTTGCATCACTGCGAAGACTGTCTTAGGTCGCGGCTGAATCAAAGCGGGAGTACAAGTGTTGGTGACAGTATGGGGTAGATGGTAACCAGGAGGACTGGAGTTTCTCAGCTGGTAAAGACAGCCTGAGCACACGAAAACAGCAGGTAACCAGGGGAGTGGGAGTCGTGGCAGGTAAGAAGCACACACCACTCCAACATGAACAGCACGGAGTAGTGATGGCCATCTGACACCAAGGCCTCGATACACGAGTCGAGCCAGGAGAGGGATCTCCCGAACCACTGCCTCGGGGCTTGTCTCGTTGCCTAAAAGACTTGTGACTGATGACGTCCGACGCAGAAATGGCTGGCCTGAGTGACTCCCGTGACCGGTTCAGACTGTCGATATGGTGTCACGACGTGAGATCTCGCTGCGTGCGTCAGCAGGTGTGTAGGCGTAGGGGTACTATAAAGCCACCCAAGATGATGCGCAACATGTGGGTTTGTTGGAGTAGTAGGTGTGTGCGTAGTTGCTGTCAGTATGATCATTGCTGCTGGTGTGTGATCACCATGGAGCCAGCTAGGAGTAAAAATGATTGATTTTCCATCCCTTGTATTTATTCACAACCTGTCCTAGTTACATACGCACCATCCTAGCACATACTCTGTTTCCCCAAGCACGCCTGCTCCCACCTTCTCCTCACTAGGTTCATAGACTCGACCGACTGACCAATCAATCTTTACAAACGTCCCATCATTCACACAAAGCCTCGTTACACCCATCACATAATTCTGACATTGTTGTGCTGCATACTATTTCACCATCAGATGGCACTAAACCGAAACTTTGAATGAATGAACCAATACTGGATACAAATGATGAAGTGGTTCGATACAGGTGTCATGGTGTCAATTGGACATCACTAGCACGGAGACAGGAGCTTAAAAGAAATCGGAGCAACAATACAGGGAAGAAATGCTGATCGCAGAGCCACAGCAAGATGCGTTAACGTAATGAACCAGTGGGGAATAACTGAAAGAAAGGCGTATATAAAGGGACCAGAATCAGGAGATAATCAGCAGCAGGTGGATGGAATAATGACTAATTGCAGTAATGTTGTAGAACGGCGGAGACGGGGAAAACCCCAACAAAAAGACAGGAAGCAAAGTCCAATCGTGACAGTAACCATCGTTCTATTTCATATAGGCTTCGCCCTCTAAGAGCTGTTGCTATTGGGATTAAAGCACAGCTGGATGTAGTCAATGCCCTGCGGACACATGACACTCAAGAGCATTAAAACAACACCTCAGCTTGCCAACATACCCCACTCCAGCAACCCAAAAAAATCATCCTCTCCCTGCATCAGGCCTGACTGGGAAGCAAGTGCAGTCATGCCCATATAACACCTGACTGCCACTGTAAGAAGGCAGAGTGACCATTCTGTTTAACAGGGGAGGAGAAGTACAAGGAATGGCACACAGTGAGCGTGTGCGCCTGACAAACGCACAGACAACAGTTTGAATTGTGAGAGCATACAGACGTTAGCTACACATAATAACAGTCAAATGCTCATTCCGCGCTGCTGTTCTCACATGATATATGTACATTTCGATCTGAGAACAAAGCATAACGAGGCCCGTGGCCAGCCACCAGCAAGCAGGTGGGACTGGCATGGGAGAACATAGGTACCATGGAGAGCGCACAGAGTGTGCGCAAAAGGTGAAGACACACACAATAATAGCTTGTATTGACAGCATAGTCAAACGAGAATGCATTAGCCAACAGCTAACCGCCTGAGCGAACAGCACACATGCTGTATCAGTGCCCAGTGTATGCACATGCTCCACGCCAGGAGGAGCCTCCTGATTGCACAGAACATTCGGAAACGAGTGAACCAGTGAAAACTTGGACGTGTCCTGAAGTTAGAAACGGGTAAAAGGACTTGGAGAAGCACAGGAGGCTGCTGTGCAAATGTACTCCACAGCCATTCCTCTGAAGAGAGCAGTGGAGGATGCAATGGCTCTTTTGTGGAGTGGGCTCTGATGCCAGATGGAGGGTTTCTTCCAACTGACACATAAGCCTGCATGATAGCCTCACACAACCAGTGAGACAGCCACTGCTTGGTTAAAGGTTGCCCAAGAGAGTGCTTTCTCCATCCATCCATCCATCCATCCATTTTCCTCCGCTTATCTGGAACCGGGTTGCAGGGGCAGCGACCATCCAGAGAGGTGACTCTGGATCAAAAGGAGGATGTTACTGTTTTTGGCGTATATGCAGGGTTCAGTTTCAGAATGGCTGAACTGCCATCCTCTGGATTAGAGAGGCACGCCATTGAGGCTGAGAGCGCGCACAGATTGCTCTCGCACTTAGCCGATGTCAGGGCTAAGAGGAGAGCTGTTTGCAGAGAGAGGTGTTTGAGAGGTCTGTGCAATGGGCTCGAAGGGGGGTTCCCCGAGCGTGCGTAAAACCAAAGGTAAGTTCCACTGTGTGTCACTGAACGTACCACAGGCCATTGTCTGCCTATACACCCTTCAGAAACCGTTTTACTAGTGGGTATGCGAACATCGCTCTCCCACCAAAACCCTCATGGCATGACAAAATGGCAGCAGCATAGGCTTTCACAGTAGACAGGGCCAGGTTTCTGTCTACCAGGCTCTGTAAGAAAATTAACACTTGAGCTAGTGGGAAGGACGTGGGAGCTGTAGCCTCTCACCATGCACTACAGTTGGAAAACAGACCATTTTGTCATGCTGTTGTCAGCCAGTGAGTCAGGCAGTGAGTCAACAGACCTGGGCCCGCCCACACTGAGGAACTCCAGGGGATCATCCACCAGGGAATCTTCACCACGGTTCGCCCAGCTGCTATCATCGTCCGGATCTCGCTCTCTGGCAACAGCAAAAGCCTCCGCTTGCCACTGCTTCTCCGCCGCAGGCAAGCAATCACAGAGAGGGCAAACGGCCTGGGCGGAGGGTGCCAGTTCAGCACCGAGGCAGGCCTCGCAGCCGGGGTGCGGATCACTGGGTAGGATGAAGTCAGTGTCACAGCCTGGGTACATGGTGATGGCGGTGCAGCGCGGTGTTCGAGGATCTCTGCTCTTTAGCCATGATGAGGGATGCTCTTTACTGCTGAAGAAAAAGAGGGAGCCTATCACAGGTCACGTTGGCATTTATGGCACTACAGTGGACCTCTTTGGGGACAGCCAGTGAGGGGCACAGTGCGCAAAAGAATCTCTTCAGGACTGCGCATGTGCGAGGGATAAACCCAATAGCGACAGCTCTTAGAGGGCAAAGCCTAGACGAAATAGAACTATAAATGTGGTCACTGTTGTGATATTGTGGACATGAAAATGAATGCTACCTTGGACTTTGTTGAGTTTCTGTGTGGTAGGTTGTGGTCATTGGCTGTTCAGCCATGATCTGCTACATGTCACTGTTTGTGATAGCCACCTAGTTCATCTGCTTTTTATTTTATTTTATCAGAAATAGTGCTGTTGCTGCAGCTGACTGACATTGTTGTGATTTGTTAAAAAAACAGTATCAAACTGCAAGGAATTCTGTATCTATCCCTCTGTTTCAAATTGTGACCCCTCCCTTGTGCCCAGGTTTCAGGCAGCATGGCAGGCTCCTCGGCCAGCTCCACCCCGTCCACCTCATCGCGCCAGTACACAAGGCAGCGCATCACTCGTGTCAACCTCAGGGACTTAATTTTCTACATGGAGCAGGAGAGAGAGACCACCCACTCCCTCCTCCTTTACCGTGCCCTGCTCAAGTAGCCTCTCATCCGCTCGGCGCCCACCTCAACCTCCTCCTCTTCCTTTCCAGCCACGTGCCTTCTGATCAGGTCTAATGCTTCAGCTCTGTGTCTCCATATGTACTGTAGTGATGTTTGATGTAGCTTTTAACAAGAAGAAATGGAGAAAGAGAAAAAAAACATACAAAATAAACAGTTGTTCTGTGTTTTCTCTGTTTAGCTTCACAGTGTGTAGATCATTCAGTTTAAAGTTGAATTTGTTAGAAACAGTGTTTTTATGTGCCAGGACTTGGCCTAGAACCGGTTCCATGTATATTTGGATAGTTATTTATTTAACTTTGGTGGAAGCTTCATTAAACCACCTCAAAGTTAACACCTGGACACAGCCTGTGATATTCTCTATGACCTCTTCGTTGAGCAAGTTCAATGAATGTAGTTTAGCTGAATTCAATAAATGAGACTTTACAAATTTCTATACATAATCCTTATCATTTTCAAACATTAAGATTCTAAATAACCGCACCATGTTTAATTTCCTTAATGTATGTGTAAATAGTTCCTTTTGATTTACTTTACAGCATGTATATTTTTTATGACATGTAAGCTTTGTAAGAAAAGGAATAACCCATTTGTCAATAATATGAAGCCTGATGTTTTACAAAATCATGTACTTTGAATGAGTCAGATTTAGTTTATTCAGTTCACTTGTAGAGAATCTGTTAATACAGATTTCCCCTGAAACTCATGCCAAACCATGCACTATGATTTCTGATTGGCTGCCCTTGCTGAATGAGTTGTTTTTTTTTCACCCACAGATAAAGTCAACACTTTATTTATAACTAGATGTTTGTAAGCTGTGTCCTGTCATGCCCATATCATCAGCATTACTGTTGAAGAAGGTGAGTTTTGTTTCAGAGAGGGCGATGTTGTAGGTGTGGTAGCGACTGGGGAGAGTGAGACCTCGAAATCAAAACAGACATTCCTTTGTCCTTCCCTCTCACTGGCCTATCTGCACATTAATGATATTTTGGGTTAATTTCAACAGTTCTCAAGGGTGTTCCTGGAGCCCCATTGATCCCCTCCTACTTTGGTTATGACTGAATGAAAAAGATAGTCTCCTTTAGTCCACAGCACTTCTACTTGTTTGTGTTTTGGTCCAAGATTAAACAGCACATTTTGATTTTCTCTTTGCTTTGTATCACTAATGAGAGCGATGGAACAAAACACTTGCTTTTTACGTCATGTTGCGTTGTCCCCTCGTTCATTTTTCTTTTTAAAAATGTGCATTGTACTATGTAATATTGTCCATTATATTTTTGTTAGTTTATTTCTGTTTAACTAAATATCTTGGCCTCTATGCAGCTTTCTGTGTCATTTTGAATTGTATTTAAATATGGGTGACATTTGAAATAATTGTTGTGCATTGTACATTTTGGCAGCACTTTTTAAAAAATCTATTTTACTTGACACCTAAAGGCTGTCACTGTATCATAGTCAAGAAATTACTCTTTTAGGTTAAAAAAACAAACAATATTGCCAGTTTCTGTCAAATGACACTTATTTTAATGATTAATATATTTCTTTCTTGTTTTGTTTTGAATTGGGTTTTATGCTTAACATGTTTTCATAAATATTATCTCCAAAGTACCATGTTTTTAAAACAAGCACAACAATAACTATTGTGGTGATTTAAAATGATTTTAATAATGATTTATATGGTTTCTGGTGGTTTCACAGGAGGGTATTTCTACTACTACAGCAGCTTTTTAGTCAAAATATTAGGACAATATTACTAATTTAAACAAATGTGGGAATTAACATTTCAATGTACGGATGATTTGTAAATATTGTTTACAAAACTATGTGTTTATTAGAACCACGTTATTTTTGGTAAACTCTTGTATATATCTTGAAAATTTCCTGTTTGTGTGAAAAAACAATACTGTATTTGTACCTATTTTGTAAAGGAATAAATAAGCTGTTTATTAAACTGAGCAGGTGCTCACTTTGTCTTTTTCTTCTTCAGTTTCTCCCTGTTCATTCCGTACTCTTTTAAAGGAAAAATAAGCAGTTATGTTTTTGCCAGAGAGCTTTAACAACGTCAACTGCTAATTCAGCCTGCTTCATTTCCATTTCTAACATTGCACATGCTAAATACAAACGGAGTCAAGCACTGCTGCTCAACTATGAAAAGTCCCCCTAGGTTTCTGCTGCTAATTAAGCAGAAGCATTTTTGAAAAGACCAAACCATTTAGCTCAGTGCAAAATATTGGGGTTTGGGAGCATATTGGTTTCTTTTCAAGATTTTGGCCTATTCTCAGTCTTTCTGGAGCTGTAGGCTGCTGGTCTGGATTCAGCCCCTTGGTTGCAGTGGGCTGTAACCAAGAATAATTACAGGACACTGAGCTCATCTTCTAAATATATCAAGCACATACATACTTTATCTGTGATAAATAGTTTTGTAGATACAATAAAGCAAGCAAAAGTGAGCTGTTACATGATAGTGATAACTGCACCCTGTTTTAAGGGTAACAGGAGCGAAATAAGACACTCATCAGATATACAGTACATCCTTTTATTATCGCAAATATGCAAGAAAAGTCCAATGGAGACACTGCAAATGAACACATGCCCTGTAATATCACAGTCTAATTGTTTTTAAACACTTTAAATAATATACATTTGCACCTCATTATACCATTTGAAATGTGTCCATATGTACACAAAGTAATGCTTTGAATTCTTTTAATTCTTTTCTTGAAGAGGACTAAGAGGTTTCATAAAAACACTAGGGTCCCATAAAACCCGAAATCCTGATAATTCAATATACAATAATTATACAACTGACCTGCCTCAGAGGTGGAGTGTGAACTGGCTAAACACTGACCATTACTTCATCTGAAAACTGTGGCACGTGTGCACATGTCTAGGAAGTTTCCAGTCCTGTCAAGTTTGACTAGCTTAGTACAACACTGAGTTCAAAGAGGCATCCCAGGTTTGGTTATTGCAAACACAAACACATATACCTGCAGTCCTTCCTTTTTCTCACTTTATGTGTAAGGTTGGACAGTTATTCACAAATGCTTGGCCCCTTAGCTCCTAAAAGTTGTTAAAAGCCCATCCTGACATTTCCACATCAGAAAGAAAACATGCCTTCTTTTCTCCCTTCCTGAAGTAATTCTTGCAGATGTGTGGTTTTAATATAACACTGATCATGTTTACCCTTGTTTCCTCAAGACGTATCCCAGATGAGTTCACACCTCATATCAACTGCATCAAAGATCTGGGGATTGGCAGCAGAGTCAGTTGCCTGGCTGTATAGTACGTTCTGAGTAAGCTCAGATTTGACTCATCAGTTTGTTTGGTTTGTTATGGTGTGGTCTAGAGAGCCACAGTATAGGAGGGCAGTTTGAAAACCAGGGCACGGGGATGACACAGCAGCAGGGGGTGCAACCCAGGTTTCTACTGGCACCACTGAACTGGGAGCCTTTGGGGAAGTGGAGAGGAGTGAGGAGCGCTGTGCCTCGGCACTTGAAAGGCCTGGTTGACCATTCTCTTGGAGGCGAATGGATGCACAGGCGCAGGCTACTGGCAGGTCAGAACAAAGATGGGCTTGGTTGTGAGAGACACCCCCAAGGAGGACTGTGCAGGACTGGGAGCTACGCTTACACTGAGCTCATCTTTATTCACGAGTGAATAAAGTGTTCTTGTTGGCAGATATTAGGATAACAACATCAGAAAAACTACTGTCCAGTTTTAATGAACAGATAATTTATAAAAACTACCCCAGTTTAATTCAGCCAAGTACCAGTGCCCACAAAGATCAGAATGAGCTTCTCTTTTTTTGGCTGTCTTTTGGAATGGAAGAAACAGCATCTGTGAGTTACATACACATATAAAGCATGAATGCTTGGCCTTTCTTGTTTCTGTCTTTGATCCAGAAATGTTGAGAATAAGACCAAAGGAATGAGAGCAGGATAGAGTAAATGCCGCCCACTTGCCTCTTTGTGAATAACACGCAGATGCTGGGAGAACAGTTCACTTTGGGTTCTGCCATACATACATGTGAAGAAACATTGAAATAATCTTGGCTTAGAAGTGACAGTATTGAAACAAACAGAGACTTTGTCTCCCAAACTTGTTCTGAAGGTACTCAGAGCTATTTTCAACAAAACTGTCAAGACTGGAGGCCTATTGCTACCCTACAGTCTTGAACAATGCATTGCATTTTTGTTATTTTAAGCTATAAACTGAAAAAAAAGACAGAAATAAATAAAAAATTAAAATAAAATAGATGACATCCTAATGTTTGTACAGTCAACAAAATAAATATCATGTCTTTCTGGTACCTTGAGTATTTGATCTGATGGAAGGTTTTCTTATTTTTAAAAATTTAATCTGTTAGTCTACTAAAACATAAGAACATAAACAGCCCCACTCGGTCACTGGGTTCAAACAAGTGTTTTGAGGGAACAGGGCAGGACAACTCTTCAGGAAATCTTTAAGTGCAAAGAAACATTAAGCTTTCAGGGCACATGTCTTGCTGATTATGAGCCATGCTGGTAACCGTCAGCTTTCCATACAAACAAATATTTTTGCTTGGGTGAGAGAAACCAATCAGAGACCTGAGATATGTTTTAACGCTAATAGGCAGAACTTCCAGAGCACTTATTTTTATGTGTGCTGCACATTTGACTATACACAATGTAGAAACATCCAGGTTCTCGTCTATTTGAACAATAGGACTTTTTCACTGAATGCAGTGCCAGCCAGATCGCTTTAGCCACATAGCCTGCAGACATCTGAGTTTCTGCATCTACTGCCAAGAAACGTTCCCTCATAAGCTCGCAAATGAATACAATCTTCATACATCCTTCATATTGGAGAAAGGAAAAAAGAGACATTAAAAATAATCCTATTAATAATAATTGTTTACACCATGTCATGATAAGAACAGCAAAAGGAGCAAGAAGAACCAACTTTAGAGACCACAATGAAAAACTATAATCAGCAATCAATTTGGCAAACAAAGCTGTTTTCAGCAAGGCCTTGGTATTTGTAGTCAGGCAGGACAGGGTTGGAGGGACGCAGTGTCTCTCAAACTGTACCAAAGCTGGGGCTTTTTAAGAAGAAGCTTTATTTTATTGCCATTGTAACATGTACAATGAAATTTTGTTCAGAGCTGAGGGCCCCGGGCCTCTGTTTGCATGCACTCTGCCATCACGGGCAACTTGGGAGGTTCAGTGTCTTGCCCAAGGACACTTTGACATGTGGACTGCACTGCAGGCACCAAGATTTGAACCCTCAACCTTCCGGTTGGGAGATGACTGCTCTGCCCACCGCACCACTGTCGCCCCCCCAGTGAATGCCTTTTGAGTGGAACGCATTTGGATTATGTCTTCTTTCTGTCCTCTTCCTGTTATCCTTTAAAGTGTGATGTCTGCCAAAGCTTCCTTGTCCCACAGCAGGCGAGACCTGTCACCAGACAGGCAAGACCTCATGGACACAGAGCTGGATTACACACTGCTGACAGAGGGGTAGAGGAGTAGTGTGTGTGTGTGTTACAACTATCTACACACACAGCGTGTGTGTGTGTGTGTGTGTGTGTTGAGGGAATTGGTGTTCAAAGATGGGGCAGCTGTGTCCGTCCAAAAGGGTTGAGACATCTTTTTTTACTAAGAAGATGAGGGAAAAATCAACCAGTCATGGTGCTAAAATGGTTCAAGCAACTGCTGTTGTGTCCATTTGTTGTTGTTTTCATCACAGTCCCAGATTCTTTGGGTGTTACTGAACATAATCAGAAACTTTTGTTTCTGATGTATATATTTTCACCTTTGTTTGGTAATACATTCTCCTCAGAGTTTTGCAGGGCTGGCAAGCTTATCAAGCCTCTGCTATGTAATACTTAGGTATGTTGGGGGTGGTTGTGGTCCTGTTAGGGCAGGGAGGGGGCAGGGGTAGGAATGGTGGAGTGGTGCGAGAGGATGGAAGGAGCATGGAGGGGAAAGTGGTTGACAGTCCCTCTTCCAGAATGCTCTAGTCCAGGGGTTCCTGTTTTATTCTGATGGGAGTGTTGATGGAGAGACTCCGTCGGTCCTCACGACACAACACGTACTCGCTGAACTGGGATGAGTCCACACCGCCTCCGCATGATGCAGCCACACTGAAACCTTTCTGGAAAAGACGCTCCAGGACCTACAGGGATGACAGAGAAAGAGAAGAACATTGAAGACAGAAGTGCTGTCAACATGGCTGAATAAAGCCAGTACTATACCGATAGAAACATAGTTGTCATACTTTGACATTTTGGGAAATATGCTTATTCTTTCCTCCATAAAAATAATAATGACCTAAATTAGCACTATCTCATTACCAGAATTGTGAAGGTTTGTGCTGCATTCCAATAAATGAACATCAGCAATAACAACAAGCAAGTTTTGGATAGTTATCACTTTAAGGTATCCACCCATCCGTTTGCCTGACAGCAACCTCAGTCACAACATGCACCATGTGTCATTAACCCTCCCCCTCCTCCAATCACACGTAGCAAAGGAATAAAACCAGAGGGCACTCCAACATCACAGGACCTCTGCAATATTGATGTTGCTTGTGTTGGATTGTCTACTGAACCGAGGGCATCAGCTCAAAGGGATGAGGAAAGCGGAATGTGAGTGAGCAGTGTTAAAGGGGCTGAGAGGAGCTCAGCGTAGTGATTACTGGAGCTCCTAATTTGAGTAATGAGGCTGGGGTGAGAGGAGAAGTGAGGTCCGTGAGCGAAGGAGAGAGCAACGTGTGGGGAATGAGGATAGGGAGTTCTGGGTGATTGGTCTGAAGAGTGCTGGAGCTGCAGGAATATATCATGTTATCACACACTAGTCCAAATGAAGATATGCTCAGACACAAACATGTGAACTCTAACAACACTTTTCTCTCCACATCTGCCGTAAACCTTTAGGGATGCAGTTTTTTGAAGGGAGTATCTAAATCCCAGTGTGAGGAGTGCTGTGTATTTACTTATTGCCCCGTCCTTCTAATGGAGTGTGCATTGCATGGAAATGAAAGGTCTCGCCAACGGCTAACCCCTCCTGCCAGATACAGAGCCAGAGAAGTTCACGCAAAATAGATGGGTTTCTTCAAACACCTATACACACACACACACACCGACACACACACTCATGGCAAAAGATGGCCTTTGTAATTACCGGGCCCCATCGGGCTAAAGTGGCATTTAGGCCTCCAGATCGAAGGGCTGCAGCCTCCCTTGACCGGGGATCAGCTCAACACAGAAGAGAAGATAAATCACATATAAAGACACAGAGAGACAATCACGATAAGTGTGCAATGCTGCAAATGCAAATTCTAAGACACATATTCAAATGGGTTGACCAGACCCGAACTTTCACACTCTGATTAAATCTATAATGTGGGCTGACATGATGCTTGTAAGCAGTAAGGACCACTAGGTAAAGTGCCCCCCCCTCCCAAAAAAAATTCATCCCCTGGTTGTACAACAACGACAAACTCGTAATTTGTGAGACAGAAGGGGTGGCAGACAGCTGATGGTGAAGATGGCTAATTAAGAGACCTGCCCAAGCATCAAACACTCCCAAATCCATGACAGACAACGGAGGAGCCTAACAATTATGGAAATGATATTACATAGTCTTCTTTGATCATTGCATCACATTGCATTTTCCCCCATCATCTCTTAAAGCATGTGGGACTCTGTCATGTTTGGCAGTGAATTTGGTCACAGAGGAGAATGGCATGATCAATAAAGATAGTCTGAAAATACTTTTATCATTAATGCATGGCAACGCAAAAGACTTAGGGATATTATTATAGATAGTTGTAAATGACTCGAGGATACTGTAATGACTATAAGAAGTCAGAAAAAACTTCGTATTCAGTTTGACACAGTGAATTAGTGCCATGGGGGAATAAACAATACACTGAATAATTAAGATGTATCCAAGCAAAAGGTTTCAGTATCCACAGGACATTGTCCTGAAATCAATCCCAGCTGACAACAGAAAGTAATGCACCCTCTTAAAAGCTAAAACATGTCCTGATGGCTCAGTTCAGCACTACATACTTGTGACCGCAGGCTTTCAGATCCCAGCTTATGTTGTACTTATGCAGATTTCTCTGCTTACTTTCCTGCCTCACTTGAGCGAAACCATAACAAAGTATTCTAACAGCGAGTTGCATGTGAGCAGTCTGATTGGCTGAAGTCTAATTCCAAGCATGATGATTTCCATGAAATGGAATTATTGCTTGTTAGCTGTCTTTGTTTTTTTTTTCTTTTCATGTGCACTGCTTTGAACTTAGACACAGCCTTCCCAGAGTACAGTACTGCTGGATAGTTGATGTACTTAATGTCAGGAAACAGGAAATCACAATATAGATGTACAGAGGATATAACAAAACTTAATCACTTCAAAACACTTAAATAAAGTTTTCTAGTCCTACTATGATGTTTGGCATTTCTTCTCGTCTTTTCCTGCCTGTGTGATTGAAGCAGAAAGCTGAACAAAGGCTTTCCCCCCTCTTCTTCCCGAGTAATCTTTATACACTTGAAACATAAAGAACCATTCTCAATGTTGCAGAATCGACTTGGCAGAATAGGGATCTACCCCCAAACACACACATACCATTCAACATATAACCATCTCTCTGAGCTGCCACTGAGTCTGGGGTCACCCTGGGGAAGAGGAGGCGGTATATCAGCTCTTACCTCCCAGACCCATATATTCACAACACAGCAAAAATGAGAAGGTAGGAATCAAAGTGGAGGAGTGTCAGGGCTGGAAACCAGAGCACAATGTAATATTGATGGCCACCAGAGTGTACACATAAACTGGCAACACCTCTCAGGAGCATCTGAAAGACACTTGCTCCTCATGGCACACAACTCACAGTTAGTTGACAGACACTTGTGACAAACACACACACAAACACTGATTGACGCTGCACTCAGGGGGTCGCTTTTGTTTAAGTATGCACAGTCTCATATGTGACAATGAGTGCTAACTGCAGTCTCTGCATCGCATCCTCTGCTTATCACAAGCATCTGGCATAAAACATGCTGAGAAGCTCCAACTCTTTCTAATTCCCTAAGCCATCTGCCAGCGATTTTAGCAATGACAAGTGACAAAAACACTTTGACAGTGTCATATATTCTCATAGTATTAGAAGCGCATTATCAAACAGCTGTGTTTGTGTCACCATTTCAAATGGGCACTTCAGTTTAAAGTGTCTTTAGGTAGCATGAATCCAGGTGATACTACTGTAGTGGGAATGCAACTCTTAACCCTGACAGTGTAAATACCCACTAAGATAGACAAAGGTGTGCAGATTAGGTCAGACCTCAAAGGGATCATGAGTACTAGCTCAGACTACTCTGAACAAACTTGAGCACATGAAGATGGAGGCTCTGACACTATCTGACTCATTAAAAGTAACATTTTATTCATCTGGTGTGTGGTTTCTGACTTTATGGCACTAATGTTATGGTGACTAGTAAAGTAACATAACCAGTTACACATGTTTAAACACTGTAGCTACTTATCTAAAATGTTAAGGTACCTAAGTAATTTCTTCTCAACTGCCTTTGACAGTGAAATATTGTATTTTGTGCTACAATACATTCACTTGACAGCTATGTTTACAGATTTTTATTATAGAATAAAATCAAATCCTAGTATGTTAAGATCACCTGATGACATGATATTACTATAGATATATTGTATAACTTATTCTTTTAATATATTTATTTTATACTGTATATAAGTTCATTCAGCTTTAAGGTGCTGTAGGTTAGGGCTAGAGAATGATGTTATCAGATTAATTATACTATTATGTTTTTTTTAATTCTTATGACATTGGCCATTGCTAGGGTAGCAACACAATCTCACCCAGACTCCATCCAACAAAGACATTACACAGTTTTTAAAAATCTAGCACCAACTGCTCTTTGTCCTCTCCATGCTGCGGGTTAACTCACAACCCCCAGAGCCACACAGGGAGTACAGGAAGCCCTAACTACAGCAGCATAATGTCTTGTTCTGCCACTCGGCCCACTAACGTGCACCACTGAGGTGTTTGTGTGGCCTTGCCTGCTCTGATGAGCTGTGCTCTCTCTTTCCATTCAGAGCAGGATTGATGGAGTGACAGTGTGACATGTAAGAGAGTGTTGCGATGTGTTGCGTTCCCCGCCTGGGCAACAAGGGGACAGGGGGCCCTTCTTGGTGACTGCCTCCGCTGTCACATTGATGAAGGACAGATTGGCTCTGGTCTGATCTAAGTGCTTCATCATGGTGATGTATGGAGCAGCAGGCCTAGCTCCAGCTCTGGGACGCATGTGTGTACACCTCTGTGGCTCTTTGGCTAAATGTTTTCCCTCTGTTAAGTGCCTTTGCTGCTCTTTGTTTCTCTCCACTGGAGCTACATCACAGCACAGGTGGTTTGCATTATTCCGTAAATTCCACTCATGACTTCATGGAGAATCTCTCACCAGGGTGGAGCTGTTTATTCTCTCTCTCTCACAGTTGAAAGCACATGATGAAGGACTAAAGAAGGGGCTAAATTTACAGCGTGCAATGTAATATGTTAAGACTTTCCTTCCAAGATATTCTCTCTGTAGACTGATGCAAAAACTTAGCACTGTTAAATTTCTAACTATGAATAGAAGAGCAATAGTTGTAACACATCAGTAACTGACACTCTTGAATAAAGCCTAAAAAAATCCTTGAACCACCAGTAACTGATGAGATGTTCTACCCCTAAATATACGCAGTTTTACTAACCTTAGGGGTTTTACTTTAAATGAATAAGAACTGAATAATAAACTGCAAAAACTAGGTTGCTGTGCTCAGTGTACAGTAAAGTACTGAAAAATGTCATGCTATCTCATTGTGACCAAAGTATCACAAGGTCTAGCTGTTTCCAGCCTCGGGCAAGACAGCAACAGTACCTTAGCTTCAATGAAACCGTCTGAGACTACAATGAATTTTCTATGATCATCACATATAATAATTTGAAAACAACACACATTTAAAAGTTGTCATCTGTCCATCTCTCTCCTGTCAAGACCTTTGCAAAACTGGTCCAGTCATAAGTACCAGACATTGCTGCATCTGGCCCCCACCCCCATCTCTCCCTGGTATTCCTCTGGGCAGGGTGTGGTTGTGTATGTGCTCCCCTGGGTAGGGGTCCAAGACTGAAATCAGATCAGAGGCTCATTGTCTGGTGAGTAACTCAAGGATTATTATTCTAACCTTCTCATACCTTCATGCAACAATGAGAGAGGACAAAATGAATAAGATGTTTAGAAAAATCTCCCCTTACACTGAAAAAACACCTCCATCTGCTCTCTACATCGACTCAGTGAGCCAGGTCCCTCTACTGTGCATGCATATGAGTGTGTGCTTTTCCTTTTCTTTTTTTTTTATACAATTTTGCGCATTTGTGTATCTTAAAGGGCCCATTGAGCACGATGCCACATCCAACACCACGTTGACAGAGGGAAGCCATACAGTGAGACAAACACCAGCATCACTTACAAGAAATGTTGAAAATTTAAGTCCTCTTGCTGTTAGCAGTTTGTCTGAAAAGGGGATCTCAGCTCAACTTGCCTTCAGAGGAGCAGACTAATAAAAACCTAAACAATAAAACTCCTTTCAGACCATGTTACTCAGATGCACTCACATCCCATAACCAGTCTCACTGGTAAACAGAGTGGGAAAATGTTGTGTTAGTTGATGCGGCCAATTAATTATATTGCAAGTCATTTAAAAATCTATAAAAGAAGTATAAACCGGTTTAGGCTGTTTGAGAAATTGTAAGTATGGTATTAAAAAATGCAATACGTGTATTTCATTTGCCTTGAGCGGTGTTATATTGGAGTCTTTTTTTAAAATGGAGCTGTGTCTTAAAAAGGAGTAAAGCGTAAATTATGCATATCATTTTCCCCCCCGTTCCATTCCTCTTCTTCATTTTTTCACAGGAAAACATGGCCGCAGTCCACACATGCTTTGTCCTGCTTGCTCGGCTCTCCTCCCTGGAGGTGGTGTCTCACACAGACAGGAGGGAGGTAGAGGTTTCAGAGCACACTAGCCTGCCTGGGAGAGGCTCTCTCTGGGTGCTGGAGGGGGTAAGGCTCCTCTATGTGTTGGCCTATTCATGGATGTGGGCACTTGAGTGTGCTGCATCGAGCCTGTGGTGTGAGACTGTAATGCTTCCTCCCTTTCTGCCTCTGACACACTTCTCTGGCTAACACAACTGTTTAACTGGTTTGATGATTTTTAATGTTACCTCACTAAACACTGCGATCAACACTGCTATTTTAATCTCACTCAGATTACCTAATGAAATGGTATAACATGCTATTGAGCAAATGTATTAAAGATTAATATTAATTTTCTGCATTTAGTGTAATAAAAATAATGAGAGGCCGCATATTGTAAAGGACAAGCCAGGCTCAACAGATTGAGCGTAGCATCTTTTTTAGGTGTTATGGTAGGCAGCTAAAACTCAGTGACAAAATCCTGGTTATTCAGTACAAACACAAGCCCAGTGTTTAAGTGTGCATGACAGTTGAAGTGTGCTGGTGAAAAACGGCTTGTTTGCTCAGCAGAATCCTTTGCTGGATAAATAAAAAAAAAAATATTTGCACTGTGGCAGCATGCAGGGTGTATACAAGGCCACAAATTATTTTGAATGACTCATAGTGAAGTGTTCCAGTTTTCCAAGCTAAATTATAAGAAGACACATGCATTTAAAAGAATGATCTTCCTCTCCTACACATGCATGCACTGTGTTTCAACACCTTGTGGATTTGTCAGGACAGTTTGACCTAAAGTGACTTTAAGTTAAAGTCACTGTATATTTGCCCCAGGAAGTATTCAACCCTGTATGCACAACATTATTAGTCCTGCAGTAGCTACTGAGGACCATATTGGATGCTATGCGGCTGAAAGTCTTATTCTTATATATGTGTGTACTTGTTTACATACTGTATATTACTTTTCTGACTGTACTCATGCATTAACATTTGTCTTGTACACTTTTGAGGTTGTTTTCCACTACATCTGACTGCGCCACCAGATATGGTACCATCGCACATACTGCATCAAGCTTCAGATTCATATAAGAAACCCAAATGTTCTTCTTACAACTCAGGACTTTTCCTTTGTCAGTAAAGTTAACCAACAGTTTTGAAAGCATAAAGCTTAAACAAAGTTAAAGTGAAAGTATGTCAGACTAATACATTTTTAGATCATCATAGCCTTGGTTTTGCATCCAATATAATTTTACAAAAAGAAAACATCTTTCTTATACCTTTACATGGGCTCATTTACACTATCTTTCTAAATTGGATGAGGTTCTATTTGCTATAATTATTATTTATTTTTACATTTTATGAAAACATAGCATGAGACTGCATTGAAAATGTAGTTTTGGTCTAACCTGCAGATTTTTTAGCTGACTCTCCATTATTTGGGTCACAATATATGATCCATAAAAAAAGGATTTCTACATAAAAATACAGAGGTTAGACTTAAACAAAGTTTCTCTTTGCTTTCTAGTTCAGTGTATGTTAGATGCAAAGTTGTCAAGACTGTAAGCATTGCATTTTTAGTGTGGAGTGCTACATTATCTTAAAAAGTAGTTATTTTATTATATATAATTTCTTTAATATTTTAATAAGAAGAAATTATCTGGTAATTATTTTCAATTATAAAACCACTAATATTTTGTAATTGCTCTCTAGTAATTTACAATGTCACCTAAAATTGAATTATACATGTAACAACAGTTTCTGGTCAATACAAATCCTGTGGCTTTTATTATGTTTTATTTTGCCAAATCAATCGTATTGCACTTGCTGGGAGTTGCATTGTTTAGTTATATTAAGTTAAGGTCATTTGTCTTAAAGTCATATTTTCTAGTGACTATTAAAAATTTGTGATGGCTTGATACATCCAGTAATTGCAGATTGCAAAACCCTTATAGGCAATGCATGAAGCAACCTTCAGCACTACATAAACAGGAAATACTTTGTGGTGTGTTACCTGGACGGAGTTGAGCCTGCAGTACCCATTGAGGGGGAAACGGATGACGTGCGTTGGGTCCTGGTTCCAGCCGGCGTTTACTGAGTTACACATAACGTCTCCAGTCTCTGGGAAGATCTCCTCGATGAGGACCTTCTCCCCGCTGAGGGCAATCCTCTCGCCCAGGTCAGGTGTGACTCGAACCACTAGGCAGTCACAGGGCTGCGCCATCCGTCGCTGTTCACGATCCTGCTTCCAGCGCTCCAGCTCCTTGATCATTGGTGTCAGCTGGTAGTAGCGTGCCTCCTCGTACAGCAGGTGGAAATCCTACACAGGCAGATGAACACGTAGATGAGAGCAGTGAGTCTGCATGTGTGTTACAGTCCTCTTGGCTATATTCAGTACATTCCATCTCATCACCAAGGCCACAAGGACAAAACCCTATGCATATAGTATACAGTACTGTGCAACATAAAGATGACAGTGGAAGGTATTTTTACAAGGCATCCCAAAGCTTCCCCATAGCAGTTGATTACAAAGTGTCCTTGAGCAAGATGCTTAACCTCTAATTACTCCAGGGGTGCTGCACTAGCTACATCTGCACTTCAACCCTTCTACAGTGGTGAAACATCAACAGGCATGCAGGGAGGAACAGCAACATATGAATGTGACTCAGATGAAGGCACAATTTAGATGAAGGAAACGCGCTTACATGTGTGTGCCAGAAACCACCATTGCCATTTGCCTTCATTGTCTGTTACAAGAAACCTTTACTAAGAAGTGCAAAGGTCAAGGCACTATATTGTTAACTCACACACTTGTTACTGCAGCTTCTTGTAATGTCCGCAGTGTAGGAATTTAGGTTTGTATTGCTGGACTTTTGGTAGGTTGATGTTGAGAACAATCAGACAAATAACCAAAGTGTAACTGTGAATCTGAATACATCTTCTAGAAAGAATACCAATAAACCAAAACCAGTGATGGCCTCTAACCAGCAGGACAATATTCTCAATAAACAAAGCATAGCAATGCTGCAGCTCTCCTCCACAGTAGCTCTTGGCAGACTTGTGCTAGCCCTTAGCATGTTTTAGTGAGCTGACTCCAGAAAGGCCGACGGTAGGGCTCCAGCGAATGGTTGATGGTGCATTCCTATGTGCAGACAGTCTGCAGCAGATTGCCTGCCTCTCCCTCCTGGGCAGGGCTTGCTGGGGGCCATTTGCCCCTGTGCTCTTGCCTCTAATTTCCCACAAGACCAGATGGCACCATTATTCACCGCAACCATAGAAAATAATGGGAGGAGGCTCGCTATTGGAGGCAGACAGGAGGTGCAGGAAAAGATATGTACAAGTGAACATGAGGACAATCATCAGCATAGGAGGATTTTAATGTAATTTTCACATGGAGGGAGTTTTATGTTAATGAGACTTGTGGTCCAATGTTAAGCTCCTATTAGAACAAAATTTAATTAGGTTACACCTAAGTGCAGGAAATCTTTCTACTAAACAATTTGTAATTATTAAATCTACCTTCTCATTAGTGTTTCACAGTTACAAAGAATGACAGCTTAATTCAGTGTGCCATCGCTGCCATTCAAAGTTTACGTGCATATGATGTTCATATTCTTTACCTCCTGGCAATAGTTTTAGTGTATGGATATTATCAAACCACATCAAAGCATGTCATTGTGCATTTGGTTACATATTTAATAGATGCAGAATGAGGTTGCTCAAAGGTTGCACTGCAAAGTCTAAATGTCCTTGAAAAGAGGAGACAATATGTGTTTGTGCTGCAGAAACAACATATTGTATGTTTCACATAGTCTGCATCACTGGTGGCTGTGGGTGCTGGGGCCGGCAGGGGGCTGAGATCTAAAAGGACTTTTGCCTCTTACCTTTTCTGGACCACTGCTGGGTATAGAAACAAAGCATGGCAGCAAACATCATATTCATTAACCCTGATTATTCTGTCAGACCTTTTAGCCTTGACCCCCCCCCAATTTGTTTAACTCCCCATGTAATCTGTGCCTTCATCTGAAGCACAAGAATGACACCCAAAGGGAACTCCATCTGGATGGAGCATTAACGCAACACATCTTAAGCTGATGGTCTAATATCTAATATTTAAGAATTCAGAATGCACAGGGGACCACCCCCCCCAACTTCTCTCCCTTTCTCAATGTCTTTTTCTCTTCTGGCCTTCTCGCTGCAGCTGACAAAACTCATACTGAGACGTTCCCCTTCAGGCATCTCTTTCTATCAAAGTGTAGTTCCTCATCCTTCACAGGTCTGAAGCCATGGATGGATATGTTTTTAACAGGGGTCTGACTGCAAGGCACCTTAGTCATCCTGAGCAACACAGAAAACAACAGAACAATCCTAAGCGCTGAGGTGAGGATGAGAGGGAGACAGGGCTGGTAGCTCCGTCCTGGCTGCTGGAGCTGCTACTACTGCTGCCAGCTCTACGAGACAATTCATCCCCCAATCCTGTGTCCAGACAGCCCGTTTGAGCTTCAAAATAATGATCCCACCTAATCGCCCACTGGCAAGGCAACATCTCAGGGAAGGACAGAGGGAGGGCAAGATAGAGAGGGAGGCAGAGAAAGAAGAAGAAGTAAAAGAAATGATGGAAACTGTCACTAGGAAGGAGTGGAAGGACTGATAAAGACCTACTGTATGCTTTGGACAAAAAAATGACTAAATCCAGACAAGTAGAATATACAGGCTGTAATCAAGCCAGTGCTCATCTAATGTACAGCAC